AAGGAAGCATGGGAAATGTGCATTCCACTAGATGGGGATACAGGCTGGGCATGGATTCGGGTGCATGTAGTTCAAACCCCGGTTGCAACAGAGTTTACGGTGAACACAAAACCAGACTGTCCTGGGATGGTTTAGCGTCTTCACCATCCTCCTAAGTGCTTCATGTACCTCGGTCCACATCTGCAGGTGAACACCTTCCCTGCGAACACAAACCTCTGGAGGAATAGAGTGCAGCTCCACCTTTAAGGTCCTCAGCCTGGCAGTGTGGCCCAGCAGCTTCTTCATGGTGTCCATGGACATGAAATTCCTTACGAAGCAGAAGGTAGTGAGCTGGGAACAGCAGCTCAGAGAAGGCAGGAAGGCACAGACCTGCACATCTGTGATCCCACAGTTTTCCAAATGCATGGTGGTCAGGGAGGCTGCAACATTACCCAGCAGAATTCAGAGGGGCTCAGAACTGAAATCAGTCAGCCTGATACAACTCAGATCCAAGTGTTCTAGCTGTCGGGTCCACTCAGAGTGGGGCAGCTGGTTCCAGTCAAAGTGGGAAAGCTGGCACTGAGTTAATGACAGGGTCTCCAAGGGGACCTTCAGGCACCTGTAGAAAACCAAGCAGTTACATCTGCAATTGATGGTGAAAATGAGTGAGTGGTGGAAAACAGCAAGGTGGACCAAGTGTCCCATGAGTTAGGCCAATTTAGGCATGCCAATAAAATCCCTTGCTTATGTATTTGTGAGACATTACAATCACTTGCTTTCGTATCTGAGTCTTGAATCTCTACAGTCCCCTTTCCTCACTCCCAAGCAGAAAACCAGAGCTCTTTACCGCTGAGGGCAGCCCGAGGCAGGCAGGAATGAAAAATCGGGTAAGATCTGGCCACAGCTACTGTGGTTCTCAAAAAGGTGGGCAGCTGAATTTGTATCCTTGCTCCCTGTCCTACACCTCTGTCCCTTGACATCAGCTTCAGACTCCTGCACTTCCCATCTGGTCACCAGCCCACACTGTGGCACAGCCTCCTCATGGTGACTGCTGGGAGGATCAGAGAGGCCTGGGGGTTTCTTAGCACCTTAGCCTAGGTGGGCTTCTCAAGGAGGAATTCACACACCTGCCCTCACTGTATCTCACCCCCACCTCCTGGCGTTCTACATGGTGGCCCTTTCCAGTCTGATTACTTAATTACAGTGGGTGTGTGACACCTTGCTGTAGGACTGAGGAGTGAAAAAGCAGTGAATAAATATGTTGATACTCTCGTGTTTGATCTCTGCTTCACCTCCTGCTGGTGACACACTGTCCGTGATCTCTAATCTTTCTAGAACAGAGCAAGGCTCTTCTGACTGCAGAGAGAGCTGTATATCTTACCTGAGCCACTGGTCCAAGTGGCCTTCCAGGAAGTGGACAGAGTTCATGTAAATCTCTCGCAGACAGTGAAGCTTAAGAAACTGAGAGGTGATTATGGTGAACTGCTCTCTCTTCTCTGGGGAAATGATGGAAGGTCCAGAGATATCAGAGAGAATTAGTTTGTGAAGATTATTTATCCGTCCCAGGAAAGGGGCAAACTGAGCAAATTCAAAGAATGTCCTGCAGTGACTGACGTTCACTTCCCGCACAGAATCAAGGTGCAGC